CTGTCCCTGGTGAGTATGATGGCGTAAAGGCCACTGCTTTTTTGTCTGCTGCACAGCAAAAACACTTTTCCCTGATGTGATAGCAAGAGACATGAAACACTGGTGGGAAACTTCATTCAATTGTGGCCTATTGAAGTCTAAACAACTCTTAGATGCACCAAATACAGAGGTGGGAACAAGAAAGAGGGAAATTCTAAAGAGTGTCAAACGGTGCATAAAGATGGACTGGAGGTGTGAGGTGAGATTCTGCAGCTTTGTCAGCTGCAGCTCCGGCTGCTGAATGAGCCAAAAATGAGCACTTAAGGGGTTGGTGATTTAGAATAAATAAACAGCTATAACTCTGGATCCAACTGTGTGGAAAGTGTGATTGGAGAAAATGTAAAGACTCTTGAGAAAGCACATGGATACTCCCAGACTAGTGAAAATATCCTAGCCAAGCAAATACTTTTGTCAGATTATTTTTCATCTTTTCTAAAAGGTTATCTGTCATCAACCAACTTACTGTGTCCCCTGTAGAGACCCTGACAGCCCACTGAGATATCATAGATAAATGGTTTTGTGAGTGTGCCAGGTGTATGGCCACTATGAGCTGCTCTTAAGAATCTTTGACATTTGACCTTTATCAGCTGAGTTTCATTACATATGCAACCTAAGACACAATACATTTGCTATGGGTATGGTTTGCTGGACTCTTGATAGCTGTACAGCTCTGCAGAGGAAGAGAATGTGAATTATTTTTAGCAGATGTCCACTAAAACTGCTGACAATAAACAGAAATCTTTAACAATAGATTCTTGCCGGCTCAGCCTCAAGAATGATTCATCACAACAAAAAAAATGACCTACTTTTGCATACATTTCAGGCAATTTCTATTAGAAAAAAGGGGATGACAGACCTGTGTTTTTACTGGTGCGTAACATACTAATATCACAACACAGAGATAAATATCATCTTTGAAAATATAATACACGGTCCCACAAATCCAGTCTCAGCAGTTAGGTTGTTTTATGTATCTGGACAAGTTCAATATACTGCTGTGTGCTGATGCAATTAGATGGAGTGTAGTGTAACCTCAAGGCAACCCCTCTGGTCAGATGGTGTTGTAACATTAATACAGTTTGCCTGGTTAGAAAAAAGAAAATCAGCTCAAAAGAACCTACTGCACCGAAGCTTCAATTCCCTGCTTACAGGCTGAAAACCTTGTTGAAGCCACTTTATAAAAAGCACCACTCAGTCGTCGTTGTGCAAACAGTCAAATTTAAAACATGTTGATTTCTCTTGTCGATGCAATTCTAATCTACATACTTAAATGAGATGTTTATTTCCGCACTTGCACATAATATTAAACATGAGCACAGAACAACCTATCTTTAATTAGCAATCTTGGAATGTCTGTTTTATATTTTATCTATCATGCAGTCATGCGCTAACTGTATGTCATTATATTAGCTGGTCCAAAACTCTAAACTCCTTACAGAAGAAATAAAGCTGACATGTTTTCTCAGAGTGAGAAACTGGCATATTCCTTTTGTAGACAGTTATATAAACCTAAACTATCAGATATAGATGTCTTGTCAGGGGGAAGAAAGCGGTTTTACAACAGACCATGAGAACCACTGAATCAACACACTGCCTGTTGTGAACAGCAGTCCATCGGTTGTTTTTCTCCCACATGCTATTGGACTCTGAGCAGCCCAGCTGTTGCAGTTGGGGGTTAAGGGCATCTTAATGGGTGATGTTGGAAAAGACTGTTTACTTTTCCCTCCTGATTTCCTGTCGAGTCATGGGGTGCTTTACATTGATAAACTTAGAAGTTAGTAAGAGCTAAACAAATGTTAATTATTATGTCAAAGGAGTGCTGTCTGGTCACTGAAGACATCTGTATCATTCCCAAGTCAAACAAGTCAATGTATATTGCGATAGTTGATAGTTAAAGGTCCTATTGCTACATTTTTCCTAAACCTACATATATTATTTCTGCAGCACCCAAACCAGAAAGCAGCTTCAGGTCTAACACCTACTGTATATTTGACTACTTTATAAATGACTGTCTATAGTATTAACATCACTAGCCTGATAATCAGATTGAAGTGACATTTTGTTTTACTTCCTTTATCTAGTCTGACATTCTGTTCATAGTTGCCAATTTCCATTCAGGAGAGATTGTCAGTCAAAACAGAAGCAGTAGTAGAGATTACTGGGAGCAGTTAACTTAAGGTTTTTCAGGATGAGCAAATGTGTCTATTTAACTGTTGTTTTTTTTCACCACTTCTGTGCTAATTTTTTTGTTTTATTTATGGCTATAGTCGGATGCAAGTTGCTCTGCCAAATACAAACGATGCATGTACGTGAGATGCTCCGCTGAACAACACATTGGACAGAAAGGATGTGATTGGCTCTGGCAGCAAGTATGCGATCCATGCAGGAGTAACTTTATACTCACTAGAAAGAACAGTAATGTATGTCACAACTTGAATAGTCCTAATGCACAAAAAACATTTATTAACAGTGGCATCCTGTCTTTCATAATAAAAATGTCCCTGATCTTTTATGACACGAAAGCTTGCAAAGCAAAGGAAAATATTTTCTTTTACTTCTCAATATGAATTAAACATTGAATTGACATTCTGCCAATGCAACAAGTAGATATTAGAATGACAAATTAGCTTGAAGAGCAAGAGTTCAAATGAATAATTTATCTGAGCAAACACTGCATACTCAAGTCCTGAAAAAGAAGTTTAATTGTCTTAAATTGCTTTGCTTTAAAAAGAAACTGTCTATATAATGAAACTCTGGATTGCTGCGTGAAAGCAGTTAATTATTAATTTGCCAGTCATGAATGTGAACTTGAATGATAGCTGGGTAAAATGTAAGGCCACATGAACGACATGAAAATAGGTCATACAACAGAAGTAACTAAGGTACTGGGTTGTGACCCATTAGATGTTAATGGCATCTACATTCTGGAAATGTTTGTCTGGTTGTGCCAGAAATGCTTTCCAATACCCTCAAGGTAATATAATTCACATGAAATACATTGGGTTAGTAAATGTATAGCCTTCTATTGTTGACAGCTGTACCATAATTATTATATTTGTCCAATAATTTAGTTCTTTCTACAATGTAATGAAAAAACGGATTTTGGCAGGTTTTTTGCCATGCCATTAGCAAGGCTCAAGGAGAGGCAATGTTAGTCTATCTGTTTATCCACCACTTTGGTCCAGACTGAAATACTGTTTATTTGATGGATTACCAGAGGAAAAATCCTGATGACTTTGATGACTTTCAGATTGTTCTTGTAGTTCGTGACATTTTTTGGCTTTTTGTGAAATATTTCAACAACTATTTGATGGATTGCCATGAAATACAGTATGGTTAAACACACAAATAACATTTCCATCAACCTCATTTTGCAGCTTTTTGTTTAGTTCTAGTAAGTGCTAGCAAACAATAGCATGCTAACATGGTAAACATCAACATGTTAGCACTGTCATTGTTAGCATGTTAGCATGCCGACCTTAGCATTTAGCTCGGAGCAGTGTTAGTCTTGTTTTTCCATAATAGTGAAATGGTAAAAAGCTGATTTTGAACCAGCTTGATTATCAATTGTACATTAACTGTGTCAATAGTCTGGCCCTGGTTCTGTCATAAATGATCCCATCACATCTCTGCACTCACAATGTCTTATAAACTCTTTGCAACAATGTTACATAGCCTTTGTTTTGTAGTATTCAAGTATCAAACCATTTTAATTTGGTATGGTAGTAGTGTGTCCTCTAGCCTGTATAAAAAAAGAAAAAAAAAACACTACCCAATGCTATCAATTAGGTGAACATTTGGGTGTATGTGAATTGTGGCACGACCTTTAGCACAGATACGTTTTTAAGGGGGGTAAAGGCTCTTTAGGCGGATATAGCAGGTCAATAGTATATTCCATAGAGGTGTTATACATCACCTGGAAGGTTGCAACCTAAAGATTAAATCTTAGAATGCAGCCCAGCACTGTGTGTCATCAATACATTTATTTTTTTCAGTTGATAAATCTGTAATAAACATTGGGTTTTAGAGTGTAGGTTTAGAGTGTATAAGGGCTGAGAACATTATGATTTAAGTATATGATGGTCATTCCCATGCTACATTATGTCTAATAGGTAAAATCTTAACATTTTAGACCACTTTAAAAGAGATCAAATTTGTCAATAATCCCTCCAAAATACTAAAAAAGGTCACCAAATGATGGATGAAAATCCTAAAAATATTCATGCTGCGATCTGGTATCAAGGTATTTGAACAGCTGGGGGTTTTTATAACATTTTTTGGTAGGAAAGCCATACATCCTCTAAATACCCTCTAAATACCCTCTGTCACTACTTTGTGGTTGTAAAGTTTCATAAGTCTGTGATTATCCTAGAGGTCACGTCATTTAACAGTGAGGTCAAGTTTTAAAAAATGGTCTCACTACAATAAAATTGTAACTATGGACACTAACATCATCAAACATGAATACAATCTGGCTCATTGAATACACTGGATTCTCAGGTTTCCAGTCATACCAAATTTATGCAATTCAAATATTGTTTAGGGACTTAGAAATATTCAAATACACAATTTTCTGAATAGGTTAAATAACACATGCTTTTTGCCCAAAGCTGTAAGGGATTAGCATAAATTGGCATTTCTGTAAAGGGGAGACTCGTGGGTAGCCTTGGAACCCATTTTCTTTCAGGTACTTTGAGGTGAGAGGTTAAGGGACTCTTTGAAAATGACAATTATAGTGTTTCCCATGCCAATAGGCTATTTAGCGTAAATTTGGAGCATTATTTAGCCCCCTGTCCCAAGAAGAAAAAAGGGTTGGTACCAATAGATACCTTAGGTCTAGTAGTTTCATATGATACCAGTATCTTCACTCCAGCTTAAACCTATAGCCTCTGAAAGACAGTAATGTCTGCAGAGGACACAGATGTACTAGCGGAGTTTAAAAGGTTATAAACGTGACTGACCTGCAAAGTTTAGACGGCGGATGTGCTTAAGCAGATGAGTGCCGTTGATGGGATCCATTTTAGCGCAGAGGCCCACCTTCCCCGGGCAGAGCTCCTGGTGCATATTGTGCAGGGCATGAGCCATTGCATAGACTGCATCAATAACAAACTGCACCTTTCCTTCTTGCTCATAGTTCGAGTCCTTTCCTATCCGCTCCTGATCTGTAAGACACAGACAAATGTAAATTAGACACATGACATGCATAATGATACTGTATGTGTGTGGTTTTGTAAATTGGTTGCATACGTTCATGGAAAATGCATCCTCTGTGGTCCCCCGTTTGGCTCATTGTTAACTGCGTCAGGTGTGAGGTTGAGACGGACATTTGTAACCATGTAGTTAAACAATTGTGAGGGAGAAAGACAATGATTTCACAAGTGGATATGAACCACTCAGTTGGGAAGAAGATCTGTAATTCTGTCACATCATGCAATCAAGAAAAATGTAATCACATAAACACTCAAGTGGTTTCTATGAATGGGTCTAGCTTAAAGAATTATCTACTTGTGAGTTTGCCACCGACTCTTGTTCAAAGTAGGCTCATGATGAAGTAGCATATTTAGTGCTTATTCCAGAAAATTAATATGCATAATAGTACCCCAAAAATGTTTTTTTTTTTTTTTTTTTAAAAGATCATTCTTGAAACGCAGCTATAGAATAACGAATCTTTTCAACACTTCTACCCTCGCGGCAGCCCCACTTTGGAGAGCAGCTCAAGTTGGACAGCACAATTCTGTGCAAACCACTTGGAATGAGCTGAACCTTTTAAATGGAGGGTGTGGCGTCAGTCCAAAAGGCATAGAAGAAAATGCATTGCTCCTCTGTGAGTCTTATTCTTACACTGAATGGGTCTTGCCTCTTGCAATTAGCTAGAAGGTAAATATCTGGATCGCTGCAGAGGAGCAAATCAATTCCAATATCTGGAGTGCAAGGTTTTCTCCTCCGGGAAATCTCATCAGTTAAAAACAAAAACTCTTTCTTGTCTCTCTGGCAGGAGTACATGGATTTCCCTCTGAGTGATTTTGTACACATTAGGTCTTGGACTTACATGTCTATGCCATTAACTATTACCTTTACCATTTTCCATTAGCAGCTTGCCTGAGATATGTTTGAATGTGATTGAATCCTTGAATCCTGACCCGCTTGACTTGAGTGTCCAACTGTGAATTCATGTCTGTTATAAGGAGTTCGGTCTAGACCTGCTCCATTTGAAAAGTGTCTTGAGATAACTTCTGTTATGAATTGGTGTTATACAAATAAAATTGAATTGAATTGAACTGAATGTCTTTATTGCCCGGGTGTATTTAGGGGCCAATACAGTGAAGATTCAGAGAAGCAGGAAATGGAGACATCCATTCACAGGACAGGGATAATCCGCTCATAGGCTCAATGTAATAACTTGTGATAGGAGTTTATTAATCCTGGCCCCGCTTGTTGCATAGGTTTTTGTGATTGTTAATTGCTAAGAAGATACGACATGCAAATCCCAACTTCTCCTTTCTCCTCACGAGCCACGAATCTTAAAGATGTCTCAATGTAACTCTGCTGTATGTGGGAAAGAGATTATAAAAAGCAGGTGTGTTCAATTTAGATTAACAATAGACTAATTACCAGGGATGAGCTAATGATAGAGCTGCATATATTTATATACCTGCCAAATGGAATTCAATTAAGCTTAGCAAGTTAATAAGCACGCAGTGGAGGATCTGCTGATGAAATTTCTACAATAATGACTATACCGTTGGGTGCAAAATTACTCGATGCTGTGGACAGCTGAAATGCTTGTCACCAAATTCTGCAAAAATATGAAATAGTGCTGATGTCCTACCTTATTTGCGTCAGTAGCTGTATTAAGGCGCACAAATATTGCTTTGCACAGTTTATACCCTATCTCAGAATTATATTAAAAAAAAGAAAGAAAATATATTTGTAGGAATAAAGGAATATTTTACAGTCCTAATCAGTCTTCACTCTCGTCTTGTTTTGTGAGAAAATCATATCATGAACCCAGTATTGTGAGTTGAATGTATCATTACATCCTTTATTCAAGAATGGATGTTCTTTTTATACAATACAAAACATTTTTTTAAAACAAAATTTGATGTCGCCTTTGTCAAGAAACACAACTCAATGTAAGAAATAAATGTATGTAAGTGTTTTGTAAGGTTTAAGTTTAACAGTTTGGAAGTTATGAAGTTACAAAAATTTAAAGGGACATTGTGTAGTGTTTTAAGTATTTTATTAGCTAAAATCAATGTCTTCATTCATAAATGTGTCCTCATTGGTCTAAAATTACCTCTGCCAATGATCTGACTTATCCTCGTCAGCGAAGAATTTCTTATCTGTATATACATTGGACGGGCAAGTCCATGGACGCTTCCGTGTCGTTCCGCCATTTTGAAAAACTATAATCGCCGAGAGGGACATAAAGCACTAGCCTACCTGTGTAACTAATCCACAACGCGTTTTTGTTCAGAGCCAGCGTCAAGTGACTGAAACCAGCTATAACGGAGAAGGAGATCAGTGAGAGGCGCTTGTCACTGCCCCGGCACATTTGAAAGTCTGCACTGCACTTTAGTTCATAATGGAGGATCATACTTAAACGAGGCCACAGGAGAAGGAATCCTCGTCGCCAAAGAAAGCAATTAAAAAGGCAACGCGAATTCAAAAAACGAGGGAAAACATCGGGGTAGCTTTTCCCAGGTGGAAAGAGCTAATGAAGGAGAAAGACTTTCAAAGGGACGCTGAAGTTGCCTGCTTTCTCCGCAACAGGTAGGCTTCTTGGTACATAACGGCTACCGTAGTTGCAATACGCACTTGAAAAGGCGAGGCACTAGAGAGCACTATTCGTTTGAATGCCAAATACAATTTCATCGCTAGATGGGGGAAATTCCTACACAATGTCCCTTTAAGAAGGTTAATCTGAGAGGATTTTCCTTTCCTAACAAAGCAAATGTATAATATACAAAATGTGCTGCAGTCATACTGCTATCTACCAGCTACAGTTTGGACTACCTCGATACCACACACATTGTGAAAAAGCAGTATGTCACAGGCAGGCAGCAGAACACACAGTCATCAGTAAAATAGTACATTAAAATGTATGCTGTTGTGGAATGACATCTTGCTCTGATTTGTCTTATTGAGTAACACTAATACAGTGCCCAAGTATTGAATAGAAAAAGGTGACACCAGGGAACACCTATTGTAAACACATAATCAACCCTGTACCTGCCGGTGTAGAACTGACATAATTAGCCATGTTCATAATTTAACTGTGGTGCAATATTAAGTATTTAATTAATTATTATGATATGTTGAGTCTTTCTGAGGAAATACACACACATTTTCTGGCCCAGAATCTGGAACAAATACTCACATTTGTATTTATGTAAAGGTTAAAACACACACGGCATGATTGTTTCTATTCACTGTCAGTGTGGTGGCCATAGTTGACTTATACATTAACCTCTGGACTGTTTCCGGCACTCTGGACAAAAATTGTGTGTACATAAATATTGAATGAATCAGAATGAGTCAGAAAAATGATATCTATTCCTTGATCAAATTTAAAAACCTGTTTCACCAAAATATCTTTTTTTTCTCTTTCATCATCTTAACAGATTTTCAGCTTCTGTTAATGAGTTGGAAATGTGGATATTAGTGATCCTTATCCACATTATCCATAGTCACATTTTGTGACAGTCATTTGTCATGCAACATCAGTCTTCTCAAGGTTCAAGCAATTTTTAACAGCCACTTCAATCTGAAAGAGTGCTAGCCCCCAAATCAGCAAAGGTCTCCCTCTGTTAGCCATCTTTCATTTACTACATCTCCATCTCCAGCCCCTCGCTGCTGACCAGAGGCGTTTTAATGTCCCAGATTAGCTCATGAGCTTTTGAAATGCATGAATTATTGTTGGAGGTTACGGCTCAGTAATTAAGGGCCACAGGGCCTTGATTGGACAGAGATTGTCACAGTTTGGCCAACATGCTTATGCCATGGGGAATCCTGCGAGCCAGAATGGGTGTGAGAGTGATATTTCTCTTGCAGGCTTGGCAGGCCACCCACACTAACTTTGTATTGTCTCTTCTCCATAAGACCATTTCCCTTTCCCCCCCAGTCTCTCTAACTCTGTCCTCATTGGCATTTTGGCTCTTTCACACACATTTTCCAGGCTGGCGTTTTGCTTTCAGAGAAATCCAGTCAGATTAACCAAAGCAGAAGCAAAGTGTGGGTGTTTTCCACTCTGAGTTGTCACACAAGACATTTTGTGACAGTGTGTGTGGGCTCAGACCTTTGACCATTTTTTTCAGCTTGCGACTGGCCACAGGCCATCCAGTCTTTTCCTGCCAAGGCAGTTGGGCTTCCCCTTAAATTAATGTGACACTGCTGCTATATGTGCTACTCTTCTATTTTATAATTTGGTGCTTCTTAAGTTTGACTTTATTTCTGATTTTACAGCTAAAGCTGCTATCTTTGTCTTTTTAGGGCTAGAACTAACAATTACTTTAATTATTGATTAATCTGTGAAATATGTGTTCAATTAAATTCTTTTAGACTATAAAATATGAAATGTTCATCACAATTTCCTAGAGCCAAAGATGGTGTCTTTAAATTACTGACTTTTTACAACCCAAATCCAAAGACATTGAATATAAAAGGGAGAAAAGCAGCAGATGTTCAATAGAGAAACTAGAATCTGACTGTGACTGAGACTGAGACCGAGACTGTTTGTTTTCTTTTCCTGATAAATCACAAACAAATAATCTATTATTAAAACTGCTGTCAATTGCTATCAAATAGACCCAAAACCAATCGTTTTTATATCAAAATTGTGCTTTGAATTAGGATTTTTTTTTTAATTAGGATTTATGTTTAAAACTATGTGAAGTTTTAAAAAAAAATTCAAAAATTCAAAAATTCAAATTCAAATTGATTGTTGATTTTATCAGCTATAAAGAAAACTGTAGCCAGCTATTTTATTCAGCTGTAACTCATCAAAAGTCCAGATTGTGAGCTTTTATTTACATCTAAAGAAATCTAGTATTTCTGGTGTGAACTAGAGATTAGTAACATGTAACCGACACACATCCCTACTATAAACCATGCCTGTTGTAGATACGGTTCCTGATGCCTGCAGACTTTGTCAAGAGTCGTT